CAGGCGGGGCATCCGGAGCGGTTTGTTCCCGGGCAGGGTGGAACGGGCTGGCCTGGGCAGTGGTAAGCCATTCATTCCCCTCCAGCAGTGGTAAGCCGTTCATTCTCCTTTGTCCTGCCCTAAGCGTTCCTTTCTTGCGAATCCTTATTCCAAATACTTATTCATCCTGGAAATCCTTGTTCCAAATCCCAAATACTTATTCATCATCATTTGCTGCCAGTAATAATGTCTGTATTGACCCTTCTTTACCTGCTGCCCCATTATCGTAATGTCCTTATGGGACATAACGTTAATCTTTGGTATTTCTGTCATTTTATCCAAAAAGAGTCACTTGTGACCGTGAGAGGGACCTGAAGGTGTTCCTGATTTTTGCAGATATGGGAGTTCTTGTCCTGGAGGTTCTAACCAAGCGTGAGCACCTGCCCCTTGGCCGGGCACAGATCACGAAGCTGTCCCAGCTGTCCCCCAGCCACCCCATCAAAGGCTCCTTTGCTGTGGTGTCACCAACATCGGAGAAACTCGGAGAGCTGCAGGTAGCCTTGATGTCCTTGCTCATTATTACATGATACCACAATATTATTATAAATTATGTGCTGTGACACTGGCATAATCAGGTGCAGGGTCAAGCTGTACATGGCACACTCTCTGTCCAAGGCATTTCTGAGCTAAGGTAACAAATGGAAAAAAACCCAAATAATGGTGGTGTTGGCTTCATTTTGTTTAGAGGGATGTGGGGTAGTTGAGCTTAACAAGGAACATGTGGTCATCTCTACACAGAGAGTGAGTATTAGCAGTGAATTTGAAATGGATATTTGGTCCTTACACTTCACTGGACTGGAATAATAGAAGATTTTGACATCTGGAATTAGGAAAGTTGTGTCTTGCAGGCAGAATTGGATCTGGAAAATTGATTAGGAAAGGCAGTTGACTGGATTTGAAAACATGGAATGAGAAACAAGTAGTTGTAAATGTGTGACACAGCTGTGTAATGTAAATATGACTTTATGTAGAAAATTAGCAATTTTCCATTGCACAACAGTTGAAGTTGAATAGAACTGCACTTAGATAGCAAAAGAACAAAGTGATATTTCCCCATCTCGTCTCCCAGGTGTCGCTGGTTCTAGAGCCTCTGCCCGAGCTGTATGACACCAGCAGCTGTGTGCCAGCCACACAAGGAGGCTCGGGTGTTGCTGCTGCCCAGGGAAACAGCAGGTGCCAGCCTCCTGCTCCACCCCAGCAGCCCAGGCACGCCCCGGGGACTGCTCAACAGGAGGAGTCTGTTGACAGCAGCAAAGCCACATCTCCTAGGTACCCTTTTTTCTGTTTTCTTCATGACAAAGCTCTGGTTTATTTTGCAGTGCACACACAGTTTTTAAGTGGTGGCAGTACACTTGTGAGTTATGGGATGATTGGTCTTTTCAGACATACATTTTGTATGAAATCCAGCATGTTGAGGGTTTCCAGGGTGACAGGGACAATTTCTTTTCTGATAGAAATTTGCTTCTTAGGTTGACTTAGTTCAAGTCATGCAAGACCACACAAGAGGTGCCTCAAACCATCGAATCACTGAATAATTTGGGCTGGAAGGGATCTTAAGGCTCATCTCATTTCAGCCCTGCTGCCAGAACACCTTCCACTATCCCAGATTGCTCCAAGCCCCATCCAGCCTGGCCTAGGACATGGATGAGGCAGCGACAGCTTCTCTGGGTAACCTGTGCCAGAGTCTCACTGTGGTCCACCAAAACTTTCTCCTGATATCTTATCTAAACCTACCCTGGCAGTGCGTGGGGATCTGTTCCCCCTCTTCCTGTCAACGTGCTCTTGTAAAAAAGATCTTTTAAAAAGCTTTTTTTTTAAAAAAACTTTTTCTTGCAGCTCGGGTGGGTTTCTTGGGTGGTCTCAGTGGCAAGTGAGGAATCATTAAAATAACATGTCCTGTTTCCTTTTGGAGAATTTGCAGAGTTCTGAATCCCTTTACTCACCCTCTGGAGCTGTCACTGAAACAGTTTCATTTTTCCCTAGAGGAAAGGACCGTTTCCTGTACCAAGAGAACTCTGAAAACATGAAGGACACCTTTCCTGCTCCTCATCGCCATGTGATTTTGCCAGATGAAGATGTGGAAATGAGCCCTGAGAGTCAGCCCCTGTCGTTCCCCACCAGCGCCGACCCCAAAGCACTTCCCAGGGGCAGCACACGGGTGCTCTCTGTGCACAACCCAGCCACCAAGGACCTGCTCTCAGGTTTGTGTGCAGCCTGCCCCATCTCCCACCTGTCACTGCAGATGGTATTTCCTCTGCCTGTCTGCTTTTCTGAGTATCTGTCAGGTTTTCTGAAGGGAAAGAGAGACTTCTCTCCCTCTTGCTGCATTAATCCAAAAAAGCTTTCCCAGCATTGGAGTAGGGCACGTCTCCATATTGCTGTCTTTGGAGTTCCATATTTACAGAAAAGAACCAAAATTAGACATCCTACTCTTCCCTAAATTATCCTAATAATGCCCTTCAGCACCCGACCCTGTGTGCAGACAAATTCCCTGTGCAGTGGAGTGGGAGACTGATGGAGGATCACTCTCCTCACTCCCACCTGAGCTGCTTTTTGGTGTATAAAACATATTTAATCCCCAGTGCACCAAGATCTCTTTTTAACAGCAGAAAACAAGTTTCTTGACTGTAGCTGACACATTGATTGTGTCTCCACATGGCTTTTAGAATGCACTTGAATGCTGAAATGTAATCCCTCTGCTTGTTTCCCAGCTCTCCTGGATCAGGGCAGTAAACTCCGTGATGCCATGGTTGTTTCTGCAATGAAGTCCAGCCCAGACATGGAGATGGAACTGAATAAATTGTCTCATTTTATAGAGAGAGATGATTTTCAAGCACCAACAAAGTGAGTTTGGACTGGGGGAAGTGAGATTCAAGCTCCAAGCCGTAAATTGTGAGGCTTTATCCAAAAACTGTAGATACTGAGATTCATAGGATGTGTTCTAGGATTCATTTAGGGTGAAAGCAGCACATCATTCGAATGGGAAATTAATTTCTACCTCTGAGTAAATGCCTAAATTTTGTGAATTCATTTTAATCTTCATGTAGTAAGCTTTGATGTAAGTATTTGATTTTAATTTCATTTCTTAGTATATTTGTATTTAGTTCTAAGTTATTTGTCAAGGAAATACACAATTTGGTAGGGAATAAGAGTAGTGCAAGACAGTGCCAGTGAAATGGCACTGCATCACAGAAAACAGTTTTTCAGAAAAGTGTCAGTAATTGATGACCTAAAAGCATTGTTCTTTCTTAGGAGAAAAGAAACTTGGATTTCTTTGTTTTCCTCTGGAAAAATATGAGTATTTCCTGTTGTTCTGTGATAACCAGAAAGCAATGCCATTGTCTTTGACAGTCAATGATGCCATTGCAAACTCAATTTCATTTCTTTCTGCACAAACTATTTGCATTTGTGTTAAAGTAGCTTATTTTGAACGTTACAGAAAAAAACTGATAGATTGAATAATGGATTCATCTTGAGCATGCCTTAATGTCTTTATTTTTCCTTTTTCTGCTGTCTGCGCTTCCATTACTGTTACCCAGGAGCCCAAAAGGCTTGAAGTCCAGTTTTGTGCCCCCTCCTGGAGATCCCCATCACCTTGGATCTGAAGTGTCAGATGAGCAGTTTGACCTAAACTCTGAAGAAAGAGCAATCCAGTTGCTCTTGGGCAGGTGAGTGTGATGCACTGGAGCCTTCTGCAAAATTGTCCTTGTGAAAATCTGACCATTGTGAAAAATGTCTCTTGACCCTTCAAGTTGCCCACATTTTTGGGAATGTAACCAGTGACTCGTGTGCAAGTGATGGAGGTGTTTTACAGCTCAGCTTTAGTGCATGGTGACCTGGATAGCTCCAAGCCACTTGGTGTGGAAGTGATGTCACAAAGATTAACCACAATCTTTCATAAAACTAAATTACTTAATAGTTGTAAGTGTTGTGGCCTGAAATGTTACATAAGGTAAGCACATAAAAGAAATACCTTGTTTCTTGGGAAAGGAAACACTCTGTAAATTAAAACTGATGAGAAACCATAGCTATTTTTAATCTTTCTCCAGATAATAAATGGACCTTTTCCTCTCATTTTGCATAACATAAATGATGTTTCTGTTGTGTCCACATCTGCACCCTGAGCACACAGCTTCTGGGTCAGATATGGTTCAGAATTTATGGTTGATGTTTCTTGTGCCCTGCACTTATTTTTTCACTGTGGTTTATCAGTGGATAGCACTGTAGTGTTGGTGATCATAAAATGATTTTAAGCTTACAGCACAGAGGAAACCCTTAAGCCAAACTAACCCCAGCTTGTATCTAAAGATATTTGCATTTGCACCTACTCAGGTATAGCTTGGAGTACTTTTTTAATCAAAGTAAATTGTCCTTGTGTATTACTGATATCTTAAAGCATTCCAGAAGTTATGAAGTAGTGAAGGGTAAAAATTAGAGGTTGATATTCATAGGTATATTTAATGATAAAAATCATCAAGGTCTGGAGTCGATTGCCCCAAGAGGTTGTGGAATCTGCAGCTTCCAAGACACCCAGAATCCATCTGGACAGCTTTTTGTTTGCATTTCATTCCCTTTGAGCAGGGTTTGCACTGGGTGATGTGCAGAGATCTGCTCTCACCCAGGCTGTCCCTCCCTTCCCACTCACTGCTTTCCTCTGGGGACAGGGATTTGTCCCCATTTCACCCCTCAGGCTGGCTCACAGACGTGCTGTGGGAGCACGGTCTGCCCCGGCTGGAGCCAGCCTGGCCCAAATCCAGGGTGAAACTGTCCACATGCCCTGGGGACTGCCTGCAGAGCTTGGCACGCTGAGGTTCCTCTCTCCTGTCCCCGCAGTGCTGACTTGTCCCCGGGGCAGCTCTGGGAGCGCACGGGCTCGCTGTGGGATTCCCTGTCCCTCGGCAGCGAGGTGTGCGACAGCGAGCTGGGCGATCCCCTCTACGACCACAGTCTGCTGGAGAGGCTCTTCTACACAGCCCCTGTAAGTGGGATCCGCAGGAAAACGTGCCTTCCCTAACGGGCAGTGACCAGAAAAACTGCGGGTTTCAGTGGTTTAGAGCTGGATAAGCTTTAAGTATCATACAGATGCTTGTGAGTACCTGTGTACGTTGCTTGAAATTATTTTTATTAAAAGAATATTGTTAAGACTACAAAGTCAAGCGTTGATTTTGGAAATTGCTGTGATTGAGGCTGTCCAGGTAGACTTTTTGTTTTTTAAATCCTTGAAATTTTGGTACCATTTTAATTGTTTCAAATTGATACAATGCACAAGTTGTTTCCCATTTATGTATTGTGACCATTATGGAACTCTGTACAATGACAATTAACTTCTTATTTGTGTGCATTATTTCTGCCTTAGAAATCTGATTCGAGTTTGAGTGATTTCCTCAGTGATGATGATGTTAAAGCCTCAAAAAAAACATCCAAGACAGAGACTCTCAAAAAAACAGGTCCAGTGAATCCACAGAAGGATTTTCATGCCTTTGATCACAATGTGATGGAAACTAAACCCAGGTAGTTACATCAGTGACTTTTGTTTTACCTCATGTAAACTACATTCCCTTTTTTTTTTCATATGGAACCAGTAAAAGTATTCAGTTATCAAGCTTATCATGTACAATACAGTTAATGTAAGGGTTTTGTGACTATTTTTATTTCCATTTTAGCTCCAAACAATTATTTCTGATCATTTTTCTGACTAACACCGCTGTTTTTACGTCAGGTAAAAGTCATATCCCAGAGGAACCAACACAAAATCATTTGCAACTCAAGTCTTGCAAATGACACAAATGAGATTTAAAACTATGACAAAAATCCTGTTGCTGTTCCTTTGCGGCAGAGACTTGTCTATAACTGTATCATCTCCCTGCTTTTGTTCGTGGCATTAAATGAAGCTTTTCTTTTTGAAGAGTTAGAATTCAGATCAGCAATGTGGAACATGCAGTTTCTGGGTTGGTTTTTTTCAGGTATGGACCCCAGATATTGTAAGATTTTTGTTACAGAGAATTACAGAGACCACTAAATTTGTAGTAAAAATATATTTTAAACGTATACTTTAGCGAACCTTGGGCAGTTTTTAAGTAACATCCCACCAAGCTACAATTCCCCCTTTATGTGGTCATGTCAAGAATGTTTCTGCAGTCCTGAACCTCATTTCTGTGTCTCCAGCTGCTCTCCCACTGCCCCTCCAGACGACCCCAGAGAAATGTCTCTTCTCACATCCTTGGGTGCAGACAGGTTGGCATTGCTGCAGCGAGTACACCTGGCCAGAGTCACCATAGAAAGCCTGAAAATCCCTCCTGAGGGCATCCAGACCTCCCCCAGGAGGAAGGGTTTGCTGGGGAAGCCTCCACGGCCCATGTCTGTCCATAAGTGGTAAGGGGGGATTGTTTGTTCCTGCTTGTTTGCTGAGCTCTCGTGTGCAGTGCAGCTTCCCCAGGCTCTGCTGAGGCTTCTGCTCCTCTGAGGAGATTGTATCCCAACAAATTTCCACGTTGGGAAAGTTAGAGTGTGGCTGATTTATCCTGATGTGGGCTCACTTCAGGCTGTGCCTTTCCCAGGGTTTTGGGGAGCTGCACATGTCCTTTGTGCCTGGCAGCACACTGGAAACAAAAGGGAGTTTATTGGAGGAGGATCTGGCACATAGCTAATCTATGGAAGGAATCCATGGAATAGGTGTTTCAGTTATCCTAGAAAAAAGAGTGTTGCAGTCAGCTGTGAATCTGGAACTTGCCTGCTGTGCTCAGTTTCATGACTCACGTCAGATTCTTGGTGGATTGTGGTCACCCTCCCCCTTTTTTATTCACAGCACCTTCTTTGTGGAGTACCACTTTCCTGTGAGGGTCTCCAAGGATGGAAAGGGACAGGTCTCCATAGCTACAGAAGCAATTCGAGCAGCCTCAAGTAAAATCACAGATGATGGTAAGAGCATCATTTTCCCCCCCTTAGATTTAGTTTTGTTGACTCCATCCCTTAGAAATTATTTAGTAGTGTTTTCCACATATTTCCTTTGCTCTTGAAAATCAGAGTATGATTAGTTGCTGTGCTGCACATGGGGGAATGATCCTCTCAGGGAGAAGGAGGCCATGTGAGTTTTAAATATTTTTTTTTTCTTCCAAGAAGTATTCATACTGGGATTTTCAAATTTCTTTTCCTACGGAAAGAACAAGTTAATAGGCCCATTCCATCTTTTGAGCATAAAGCCAGTATTCTTTCTGCAGTAGTGGGAGGATGATCAAGTACTTTTAGAAATATCAGAGATGCTTACAGCCCAAATAAATAATTCCCCAGGTGTTGAAGTATGTCCTGTAGTATCTCCAATAGCTCACAAAATCTGCTGGTTCCAGGGAATCTCCAGTCCTGTGCTCAAATGAGCAGACATTAATCTTTGTACTGAGAGTCACCAGTGTTTGTATCCCTGAGAACAATTTCTGTTTCTGTGCCTGCTGGGCAGAGAATGCTGGATGTGCAAGGTGCTCCCTGCCCAGTCTTGCCAGAAATTGGAATGCCAGGGTGACTTTCAAATGCCTCTCCCATGTGGTCATTCATTGGCTTTGCACCTTTCTGAGTGGCACTTGAGAGATTCTAAGTTCTCTTAGAATTCTGCATTTGTGGCCAGAGAAAACATCTGTTTCTTCTGAACTTCTGTAATACAGCCTTTGGAATCCAAAACTCATCCATCCTTCTGGCCTTTGCCTTGTGTGGAGTCCAGCTCTTTGGGACCTAGAAAAATGGGTTATAAAATAGAAAATAATTTGAAGAAGACTTCAAGTCAATCCACTGTAGCATAATCCTTCCTGAGAGCTGTTTATGTCATTTATTAAATATGCCTAATGGGGAAGATTCCGTAGCCATTCCAGACAAGGTGGGGAAGATCTGGGCATCCAGTTGGACATTTCCTTAGGTGTAACTTGCATTTTTGTCATCACAAGAATATTTCCTGATCCTTTGTGAACACTGTCATTGTACTCCTTGTACTCCTTTCCAGACTGAAATTGGTTCTGTCTCTGCTTGCAGACCCTCCTGTTCTCCTGAAGCTGTGATTTTTCTTACAGCTCAGCTTTGACTCCCTCAAGAGCCATCTTGGTCTCTCTTAGTTAAAATGAGGCAGGGTTCTCCCTCTGAGGAAGGACAGCTCCTACTGCATACAGAGAGGTGCTGTCACCTGAAGTCTTTATGTATTGTTATAACGTTGGTTTATATTAATGTGTTTAATAATTTATTAATTATTTCTATTAATTCATAATTTTAATTTTGTCCTGCTGGCCTCCTGCTGTTTGCTGGCCTTCAAAAATGAAAACCAGTTTACTTTATTGGTGTTGATAAACAGTGCAGAATTAAATTATTGTGTTTGTAACAGCACTCTACAGGAGAAAGTTTATTTATATCAGATAATTTTGGATATTTGTTGCTCCTGTCTTCCTTGCAGTGGTGAAGTTCCAGCAGCAGTCTGTGTTCCCTGTGTGGCTGGGGGAAAGGATGGTGGAGCACTGGTGGGGCTCTGACCTGGCTTTTAAAATCTACATGAAAAAAAGCACACAGAAAAAGGTATTTACTACAAATAAATACCTTCCTTCTTTGTGTATTAAAGCAAAGGAATTCCTTGCATTTCCACTTCCCACAGGCACAGTGCAGACAGTGGGATATTGGGGGGAAAGTGGTGTTACACTGATTGCTGCTCAGGCTTCACAGAACATTCTGAGGGACCCCCAGCATCAGCAGCCCAGCCCCTGCCCTGCAGAGACACCCCAGCAATCCCACCCTGTGCATCCCTGGGAGTGCTGTCCAAACATTCTGGAGCTCTGGCAGCCTTGGGGCCAGGGCCATTCACTGCTCCAGCCTTGTCACTCTGTCACTTCATTAAAGGCTTTTCTGAGACTGACACTGGCAAGCAAAAAAATAATGTACTTCCCTCATCTTTTAGACTGTTGTTTAAGCTGTGAAAAGCAGCTGTAGCTTGTGCATTTTTGAGGGGAAAAGGTATATTTCTGTCTGATAAGATGATTTGCATAGCCATCTGCCTGTGATGGAGATGGTGAGAGGGGTTAACTCAGCTTATGTTATTTAATCAGCACCAAGGATATCTGCTTTTCTTTTAATGGAGGAGTAAATTGCGTCTCTCAGTATGGAAATTGTGCTCATTTACTAGGATTTAGGTTATTCAATTTTGGCATTAATCTGGAATTGTTTACAGTACTTTCCAGGAAAGTTTGTCTTACTGTTCTAGTGAGACTTGGAATTGGAAGTAGAGGAAATTTCCTAAATCCCGGTTGGTACAACTGACGTTGGGAATGGGAGTGGGAGCCAGAAAGCTTTTTTTCTTCCCCCAAAATTCTTTAACTCTGATAGAAATCATGCAAAACTAACTCTTTGCCTACCCTCAGCCCGTGGCCATTGGCTCAGCAGCGCTTCAGCTCCGCAGGGTGATTGAGGCTGAGCTGCTCAGTGTCAGCTGGGACATACCTGTGGAAAAAGAGGGAGAGCACACACAAGTTGGGCCCCTAAAGGTATGTGTTTTACCATCTCTGCCTTGAATTGTTGCTAATTTTGACTGCACACTCTTATTTCTAACTCCTCTTTTCTCTCTTTGTTTCAATTTACCAGTTCTCAAATACAAATGTTTGCAAGACCAGTATAAAAATAACCCTTAACCCTTTTTTATTCTTAGAGTTTTGGGGAAATATTTTGAAACTCTTGCATGTCTAGGAATGTTGTCATTAAGCTGTGACTTGAATACAGAAACCACTCCACAGGCAAATTTTGAGTGGCACCTACTCAGGGCTTGGAGCTTTGGCTCCTTCACATGTGGCAAGAGCTGAGGTCTCTCCTGCCATGGAGGTCTGGTCCTCCTTGCCCTTGTCACTTCAGGAAATATCTTCTCCAGACACAGTTTCTACCAGTTTGCCCAGCTTCTAAATGAGAAGCACTAACAGTTTGACGGATTTGACAGTTCTGAGGATAAACAGCTCTCTGTATTAGCAGGTGAAGGATTCAGAATGGGGTGAGCTTTAAGGTCCCTTCCAACCCAGACCATTCAATAACTCATCTGTAATTGTGCGGTTTTGCACTCGTGGATTTTGTTTCTTAAAACTACGTGTAGTTTATTTTACGGCAAAAGCTGTAGCTTGCAACCACCATAATGCCTTGGGGTGAGTTCTGGAGCCAAAGGTGTGCTGTGTTTTCCTGAGTTTGTGTTGCATGCCTTGTTCCTGGATGTGGCACATCTGGCCAGCTGTGCTTTGCCTTGCAGGTGTCCCTGCAGCTGGTGGCCGACGCCGCTGCCGGGTCAGCCACG